AAGATAAGTTCTATCTAGAAACTTTTTAAAGATCTAGTCCTAAGGCTTGCCCTCCTTCTTCTATATTACTAAGCACTACTTATTTATAGGGTCCTATAGGATATTTATCCTTATACTTAAACCGCCCTGCTTTTTAGCCTCGCTCAAATAACTATTATTATTACTACTAATATTAGGATTACTATTACTCAAATCACCGCCATTATTACTACTAGACGGCTCACTCCCCTATAATACAAGAGCATATATGGCTTTATAATATTAGGGTCGGGAACACGTTATATCCTTATAAATACTGCCTGCCTCTACGGTAGTCAATATAGCCTTGCTACCAGACGAGAGCCGGGATAGTATATACCGGCTAAAGCTAGTAATAAGGAATAAATATTACTCTATTAGCTTAATAATAAAGTTATTAATCTTCCCTATATAGCTAATACTCGTAATAAGTCGGCTAAGCTAGCTAAAAGAAACTTCTTACTTAGTATAGATTACTACTATAAAGAAGTAGTAATCTGCGGAATACAAACGGAATATAGCCTCGGCTAGTATTAGCAGGACGGCTCTAGATAATCGGTCGAGATTACTATAGTCGGGTAGTACGTCTATATCTGTGGTATATAGTATAGAAGGTCGAGCCTAGGGACTAGGAACTATAGTAACTCTCGAAGCCTAATTAGGTAGGGAGTACGACTTGGGAGAGCGCCTATAAGGCTTAAAGTATGGTCTCTATTAGCCGGTAGACCTCTATTACAGATAGTGCTTAAGCTTCTTATATATTAGGCCATCTTAAGATAAGGACAGCCATTTTCGCTTTATAGGATATAGTTCCTTATTATCCTTATTCAACTCGATATTATTAAGCTTAATATTACTATTACTATTACATCCCGCCTTATTATAACTCGGCTCTATTAGTAGATCAAGATTAGGAAGCAATTACCGTCTATTAGCCAGTCTTGAACTTTTACTAGCCTTCTCGGCTATTATTACTACTACTATAATATTCATCTCTTACTATATTCCATTATTCTTATTAATCTCCTACTCTACTTCTTATTACTCTCTCGCCCCCTTATTAATAAGGAGAATATCAAGCATATAATTAACTAGCTCGTATTTGTTTATTATGCCTCGACTAATATAAAGATAACCCTTTTAACTAAGCTAGATCTCTGGCAATACTCTGTAATAATATAGAGGCGGGCTTAAAAAAAAAATCATGGCCTTAAATCTAGTATAACGTAATCCTTCTATACTAATACTATTATATAATAGCTTGCTCTAGAGATATAAAGAAGAAATATAAGAATATACGGAGTCTGTTATTAAAGCTCCTTATTTAGCAAGCCGCATATATAAAGCTATCTCGGGGTAGTTATTAATATTATACCGCCTATTAGAACTATAAGAAGGGGCCGGAATTATTGAGTTAATAGCTATCTCTAGGCTATTAAAAAGTCTAGTACCTGGTACTATTATACTTTTAGTATAAAAACTAATATTATTAGCTTTAGCTTTGGAGACACTCAAGTCGCTATTACCTAATAAGATAATTAGATTATCTATACTATATTAGAAAAATTAGCTGTCTATTTCTATAATAGAAAGTATAATAGGTATAGCTTATATAGACTCCCGCCCAAGTTATTACTTTATACTAACCTGCTCTAGTTAATAGAGCCACCTTTCTTATCTATAGCTATTTCCTTAACTCTGCCTATCTTGTCTAGGCCTTAACTCCCTATTATAAAACCCTGTACTTATAGTTTAGTAAATAGTAAATCTTTAATTATAGGGAAGTTATAGTTATTATTACTTTCATTATTATTTATCTTATTACTATATCTATAAAAAATACCGGCTCCTAGTCAGATTCCTATAAGTTAGTTACTATTACTATAAGCTAAATATATCTCTATTATATACCTCAAATTCCGGGCCTAGAGCCCTAATTATTATTATTAGCTACTATTATTACTACTAGCTATAGTATACTAAGTAATATATTACTCGACCTAATTTACTAAAGCTTATTAAGAATACTAACTTATTCCAGGGCCGGTTTATAGCCGGTTATTATATTCTTAGAATATAGAAGAATTAGCTTATAAATATACTCTAATTTAATAAAAATAACTATCTTAGAAGCATAGAAATAATTAGGAATAAGAAGTTCTTTACTAGTTACTAGTTATATAACTAGATTATAAAAGAAATAGTAGAGATAAGGAAATTAAAGAATTTATATAGGCTTCTTATACTACCCTTATAGAACCGGAATATGCTTTTATAGCCCGCTATACTATACTATACTATACTAGGCTTCTTTTCTTCTAATACTCTTACTATAAAAAAATGCCTTAGTATTAATATAGTTCCTCTTATATAGAGATATCCGCTATAATTATAAGGCCCTATTACTATTAATCCTATATTCTTATCCCGGAATATACCTATTTATAGCTATTATTCCTACTTTACTATATATTATAATTAGCTAATCTTAGTATTATTTCTCGATTATTAGTAAGGCTATAAAAAGCTAAGCAGGAAGAAGTAATAATTATTATACGAGGATATATAACTTCGGATATTACTCTCTCTGCCCGTCTAAGGGCTTTAGATAGACTAGTAGACTAGTATATTCTCTAGGTCTTTCCCGTTGCCCGGTATCTTAGCTACTAATTCTATAGCTAGTATAATCTAATTAGCGGATCCTTAGTAGATCTTCCAAGGAAATTCTCCTAGCAGAGCCCTTATAATAATCCTACTGCCTCAAATTAGCCCAGGGCCATATAATTAGGACAAATACGCGATATACTATAGTAAGGAGGAAACTTACTAGGACGCTCCTAATATATTATTTACCTATAGTACCTAGGGCAGCTAGGTAGAAGCCAGGCCGTATTATCTCGAGGCATTTCTGCAACTGGCTATTATGCTATAATAAGGGCAGGCCTTGTCTATAGCGTCTCAGTCTCCGGAGCGCACTGCTATATGAGGCAGTAATAGTATAATAATAAGGCAGATTACGAGAGGATCTAGATACTATTAAGCTCGTAACTCGGTTAATGCAAGGCATATATATAAGGGGATCCGCATTATAGCTACTTAGTAATATTGAGGCTAGAGGGGGCAATTATGAATTCTGGTTAAAGCTGCCCTGTACCTCGCTAGTACGGTCTTCTTAGCTATGGCGTGGCCGATTAGGAGAGCCTGGCGGGAAGGAGTAGAATTTTAGGCAGAAGGGCCAAATACGTATAAAGAACAAGCACCGAGTATTGCGAGGCGGAGGTTATTAGGTTATTAAAAAGGAAGGAAGAAGGGAAAGAAGCAAGTAATAGAGTCGCGAGGTTTTTATATCCCGCAAAAGCGGCGGCCGGCCCGTATACGCGCCTTGCCTAATGCAGAGGTCGCAGTTTCCGTATACAGACTTGCCATCTGGTCGTTTACTTTATTATATTATCTTTTTAGAAATAAAATTATAATATCTCTATTTCCTATATTAAGAACTTTTAAATATTAAGCTTTTTAATTTATTTCAGGTAATTTTTCTTATAAATATAACTATTTATATCCAGATTAGTAATACTAGATTTAGAAATAGAAATTATAGTATTAAATTAGAGCTATAGATTTAGGCAAAATTAATTAGAAATATAATACTTATATCTATATTTCTTAATTTTCTAATTTTTAAAAAAGAAATCTCGTATTTTCTTATTTATTTAAGTAATAAAAATATACTTTTTATTTTTAGTAATTTTATAGATTTTAGTAACTAGCTTTAAAGTATTCTTAATAATATAAATATCTCCTATATTAATAAAAAGAATATTAGTAAATTATTAAATATATATTTTATAAAAAGCTTTAAGAAATCCATTAATAATTCTATAGTATTCTCGTTTATAAATAGATTTCAAAATACTACTATATATTTTCTTAAAAGTATATTTATTCTACTAAGCAAATATTAATTTCTATTTAGCTAATATTTTATAGATATACTAATTAATTTTAATTTTCTCGAACTTAATATTCTTAGTCTTCTGCTTTTTAGTTTTAGATATAATTATAGAAGTCTTTTTAGATAATATTTTTCTTTTTAAAATAGAAGATTTCTTTATTTTATTAGCTTTATATTTAAACTAGTACTTAGATTTTCGCTATTTATTAAAAGTTTTAGGCTTAGTTTACTTTTTTTTCTTACTAGATTCTTTTTATTTAGTTATATTAGTTCTACTAGTTTTACTAGCAGATTTATTACTAGGCTATATTAAATTAGCTCTATTTTTATTAGCTAGATTTAATTAAATTAAAGCTAAAATTATAATAGGGGTCTATTTTTTAGGCTTATCTCAGAAAGCAAAAAAAGACTTATTATTATAAATTCCCTTAATTAAAATTCCGGAAGTATTAAAGATATACTATCTAGCCTTAAAATTATTAGCTAATAGTAGCTTAAAAATTAATTCTCTAGATTTCGAAATAGCTTTAATATACTTAAATATCTTAATAATATCTAATTTAGTAAATATACTAGTATTTTAATATTTCTTATTTTTAATATATTTTAAAATAGCTTTATTAATTAATTAAATAGCTTTATATACTAAAGCTTTTATTTTAAAGAGAAAATATAACTTCTTATAAATGTTTTTATTAAGATTATTACAAATATTATTAATACTCGCAGGCATTTCCGCACCCGGTTCGGGCCAGCTCGCTATGCTCGCTAGTGACACCAATTCCGACATCCCAGCAACTCCGACATCGATTTTTTAGTCTATATATTAGATTAAAAAACAACCACACATCCAATAAAGATAATTTTTTTATATAATTATAGGCTATACTAGACTCTATAATCGCGTAATAGAGCATTTTTTTATACGATTACGTGGTGTTGTGCTATAAATTAAAACGTGATTTTTAGAATTCTTTTCGGAGGGAACTCGCTTAACGCCGAAGCCAAAAAACACCAAAAATCGCGGGGCATTAATTATATTAATCACTAATTCAACTACCAAATCAACCACCAAATTAACTACCATGCCAAAAGCCATGCGTCAAACGTCGAGAAGACAGGTTGAAGAGCTTGCTAGGAGGCTCCGGAAGATGCCAAAGTACAAGACGAAGCTATATTTGGAGAAGGAGGCTCGAATGCAGGAGGCCCTGAAGGCATACCACGACCTATCCGAAACCGAAATTACTAGCTTGTGGATCGTAGCAGGCGTATTTGACGTCTCTTATACGACTTTATATGGAAGGGAACAGGGAGCAAAGCCTCTTTCGGAGAATGGAGGGCATAATACGCGCCTAAATAAGGCCCAGGAGATGAGCCTAATATGGTATATGGATATAGCCATTGAGGGGTTTCCCGCTTCGGTATGATATGGTTACTCGGGCTGCCACGCAAATTCTAGAGGCTATAGGCCTAATTAATAGAGATAATGATCGCCTGGGGAATAATTGGGCTCTTCGTTGGGTAGAAAAGCAAAGGAAGCTTGGGAGATACCATGCTATATGTACAAAGCCTATGGATTATCAACGGAAGGAGGCACTTATTCCAGAACTAGTCTTAGAGACGTTCGCACGGCTCCAGGCTATTTTGGATAAGTACGAAATACAAATATTCGATATATATAACGTTGATGAGATTGGTTTTCGTATTGGGTGCATTGCTAGTTCGACAGTAATTATACATAAGAATATTCGAGAGGTAAGCACCACCTGATAATTATACTTAGTACTTTATACTTCGCACTTGCTAATTAATAATTATAGGTTTATGTCAAAGATCTAGCCGAACGAGAGTCGATTATAGTAATAGAGTGCATTTTAGCCGGAGGTTTCGTAATTAAAGCCTTTATTATTATGCCTTATAAGGTGTTTAAAGAGAAGATATTCGATAATAATCTCCCCGATGGTACGAAAATCGCCCAGAGCGAAACAGGCTATACAGATAACGAGCTAGCTATTAGCTAGCTATGGCATTTCCACTATTAAACCAAGGGCATACGAAAAGGCAAATATCGTCTTCTCATCTTCGATGGCTACGGTAGCCATATGACTTACGAATTTGTATCTATTTGCGAGTAATTGGATATAATACCCTTCTATTTACTAGCACATTCCACACACTTCTGTCAACCACTAGATATAGGCTATTTCTTATAAGAGAAGCACTGGCATAAGCGCTCTATTAAAGACAGAGTTCGTGCGGGGAAAAATAACTTTACGAAGACTACGTTCCTTCAGGTATTAACTCAAATTCGTAAGAAAACCTTTACTAAAGGAAATATCCAATCATCATTCAAAAGAGCGGGCATCCACTCCCTTAATCCTGAGCCAGTTCTTAGGGCTATGAAGCTTCGTACTGAGAAGAAACTAGGCGATCAGGAGGTCAAAGGACGGCTTTATACCCTCAATAAAAACTGCCTTAACGAAGCTATTTGCGTACCTGCGTCAAACGAGCCCCAAGCTAGAATGGAACCTCCTAATCGCTCAATATAGGAGGAACAGCCTAATGCCTCCCCTGATTTTGAGCCCCTTTATTCCGATATTCCTTCAAGTAATAACAAAATAGAGCTTCCTCCGCTCAATCAAGCTCAAAATCAAAGCACTAACGACACTAACGATCTTATTCAACCCTTTTCTGAGACTAATATTACCGATTATGGCAAAGAGAACTCTGGAATTAAGGGTCTTAATCCACAATAGTATACCAAAACCGCTTTTATACAGACCCCCTACAGAGCAAAAGGGATCTTTGCACACGCAGATTTTCTCGAAAGATACAAAGATACTATATCGTCTCCCTCTCGAAAGCTTTCAAATAAGAAGTTCAGAAAAGGGGCCCAAATTAAGGCTAATTTGGAAGCCATCGCCAAGCAGCAGTTACGGGACAAGGACGATCGAGATCTCTGGGCTAGTAATTCCCCTTTTATAAACGAAGAGGATTACGAACAATACGTTAAACCTGTTCATGGAGGCCGTATAATCTCCTCTACAGAAGGTCTACGTAATATTAAAGCTAGAAACGATAGGGAAGAGGAAGACGAACTCACTAGAATAAGGAAAGAGCTAGAGCTAGCCGAATACCGGCACAAAGCAGTGGTTGAAAAGGAGGAAAATAAGATTAGAAGGGAGGTTAAAAAGGCTCAAAAGGCAGAAGATGATCGAAAAAAGAAGGAACAGAGGGCTAAGGAGAAAGCAGAAAGAGATAAGAAGAAGAGAATAGAGGAGGAGGCCAAGGAGGCTAGAAGACAGGAAGCTTTGGTACAGGGAAAGAAGCCACGGGGCAGGAAGCGTAAGATTAAAGCTATTAATACTCAGATAACGCAGGAAGATATATAGACTTCTAATTTTAATAGTAATATATGATTTAATATCGATAAATATGGTAATTAGTTAATGTGCTACAAACTGATTTTAATAGGAAGCACGAATGTCATTATGATTTTAAAGTGAATTATTAATAATTTATGCCAGAACCTTTTTATTTGGCAGAAAGCTCTATTAGGCGATTATAGACTTAATTAAGGGCTATAATAATCTAATTTTGTTATTTCGATATTTTATGTGGTTGATTTAATAATTAATATTTTATCGCAAATGTCGGAGTTGGTGGTATGTCGGAGTTGCTGGGTCCGACTTGCTAGTGCAAGTCGGCCCCAGCAAAGCGAGGAATTGCCGACGGGTATATTAGCTAAAAGCTTTATTATATAATATAATTCTATTCTAACTCTTAGTTTTTAGACTATTTATTATAGTCTTAATCTTATTAAGCTTTTTTTATTTACTTTTAGAAATGCCTTTAATAATAATCTCGAATTCTTTATTATTAGCTTAGTAGTTCTTTAGCTTCTCCTTAATTAATTCTAGTTTAGTTTTGTTTCTAATAAAAGTCTTTTATTTTAAGAACTTATTATATATACTACTTAGTTTATTTAGAATATTTATATTAAATTCAGTAATTATAGCTCTCTTTTCTAGTATTAGTAGGCCTTTTATAACTACTTAAGCTCCTTTAATACTCTAAACTTTAATACTATTAATTTATAGGCTTTTAATAATACTATAGCTTATAAGAACTAGCTATTATATTTTACTAGCTTAAGAAATCTATTTTTTAATTATTTTATTATTTTTAAAAGAATTATATAAGTATTATTAGTATAATAGTTATAGATTATAAAGTTAAAAGTTCTTAAAATTATAAGAATTTCTTTTAAGTACTTTTTAAAATAAAGAATAAATTAGAATAGACTTGAATTATATAAAAGTATTATATATATTCGAGTTTTTTTTTTTTAGTATGAAAATAAAGCTAAAATAATAATATATATAATAGAGAAAATAGATATAATAATTAGATATATTTAAAGTAATATAGTTATAAATTAGAAATAATTATAGAAGATAAAATATAAGATTAGGCTTCTATTATAAAAAAGAATATAAATATATATATCTAAAGAAATATAATCTAGAAAATAATTAAAGCAAATTAAACTAAATAGTAATAATAGGAAAATAAAAAAGTAATATAATAGAAATATAAATATAATAATAGTATTTAAAATATTAAAATATAGATAAAAATATTAAAAATTTATAATATAAATATATTTTAATTCCCTATTTATTTAAAGACATTTCTATTAACTTAAAGAATAGTATAAAAGAAGAGAAATAATATAGGAAATATATAAATATACTAAAAATACTAGAAAAGTATAAAGTAAATATTAATAAAAAAGAAATCAGAATAATAGAATTAAGAAATAACTTAGAATAAGATATTACTTTTTTCGAAACTAATTTATATCTCTTCTAAAAACTAATTATATTTATTTAGTATTTATTAAAATCAATTTTATATAATAGAAAACTACTTAGTTAGTTAGAACTTTAAAGTAATATCTATATTTATAAAAGTAATATTAAAGGCTTTAAAGATTATAAAATAAAGAACTATAAAATAATATAAATAAAGTTTATAATACTATTATTAAGTTTGAAATAGTTAATATTAAAGCTAATATAAAATATAGAAAAATCAAGTATTCTAAATCGGTATTAAAAATATAGAATTAAAGGTATTTTCTTAATTATTTAAATAATATTTAATAATAAGAAATAAATTAATAATAAGAATTATTAAATTATACTAGCTTTTTTAAAAAAGTAATTAGTTTTTAATAATGAAATAGTATTATAATTAGAGAATAGGTTTTATATAAAAGAAGTTCTCTTTATATAGAAATAGAAATATATAATATACTAATTAAGCCTTAATATATATTTTAAATATAGCTATAATTATATAAAAGAGAAAGTAAATTTCCTAGTATAAAGTAGGCTTTAAATAAGTAGATTTAGTTTATCTAATATTTAAGAAACTTCCAGAATTATATATTATTAAATACCCTTAGAAATAGCTATTAGATTTAATAAGGTTTCTCTTTTCTCTTATAAGGCTTCTAGTTAGCTATTTCATTTATATAAAATCTCTAATTAGAAAGTTTATTTAAATATTATAAGTAAACTTATAATAGTAGTTTAAGTTAAAGTCGAGATTTATAAGTATTATAGTCAAGCTTTAGGCCGGTATAAATTATAAGAATAGCTAGCTAAAAAGGCAAGTAAAGCTTCTAAAAGACTTCTAGTTTAGTATTCTTGCCTTTTTAGAAATATATAAAAGGCCTCCTTTTTTCTTCTTTTCTCTTCTCTATATATAGTAATTATTTATACTATAAAAACTTTTAAGAAAGTACTATAGTTCGAAATTAAAAGTCCGTAAAGTAACCTCTTAATTCCTTATTTATTTTTATACTAAAAGAAATACTTTATATTTAATTTCTAAGATCTAGTAATAGAATCTTATATTAAAAATATTATCTAGTAATAATAATTAGATAATAGTAAAAAATAAGTAATAATAAAGCTTATCCGATTTCCAGAATAGTAATCTAATAATAATAGTTTCTAAAAGTTATAAATAATAGTCGGAAGAAAAAATTAAAAGATATATAAAGAATTAAAGGTAATAAGCTTTATTTTAGATTAAAAAAAGCTTCTATTATTAAATACTTTTTTCTAGTTTTCTATAAAGAAGATATACTTTACTTTCTCTAATTCTAATAACTCTAAAACATATATAATAATACTAATAGCTTTCTTAATCTTCTAAATATTATTTTACTTATAGTATTCTATAACTACTTTCTTTTCTAGTTTTATATCTGTCTTAAAATATTTATTTATAGATATATATTTATTATTAATTTCGTTTTTAGGAAAGTACTAGAATTTATATCTTTTAATAAATTACTTAAGTTAATTCCCGGTATATATTCTTTAGAATATAATACTATTAAGTTCTTCTAGTATATAGTATTCTTTTAGTTAATCTATATATCTTACTTTATATAGGCCAAGCTAGTAATATAATAGCTTTATATTCCTTAACTTGTCTTAATTTATTAATTTAATATTATATATAAGAACTAGATTCTTTTCGGAAATAGGCTTTAAATAATTCTAGTAAATAGTATTAAATTACTTCTTTTTCTTTTAGTATCTTCTATTTTTCTTTATTTTGGCTTCTTTAATATCTTTATTTCTTATTTATATTTACTTTATATATATCTCTAAAAGTATTTCTTTATTATAAACTTTATTTTATTTAAGTATTCTTTAAATTAAAAAGTATATTTCTATAAATAGTATAGCTTCTCTATTATAGACTATATAAAAGAAAGTAAATCTAGTTAGTTTATATATAATAACTCGGTTAGTAAATAAAATATATAGTAGTAAATCTATTTAAAGCTTCTTTCTATCTATTATAAGTATAATAAATACTTAAATAATTAGTTAATATTCTCTTTTAATTATATTATTTCTTTTAGAATTATAGACTAAAATAATAATTCTATTAATTTCTAGCTTATTAAATTCCTAAATTACTACTTCTTTAAATTCCGATTTGCTATTTACTTTAAGCTATTTAAATAAACTATATCTTTAAATAATTTCTTTTTAAATAAACTTAGTAATCTTTTTACTAGTTAGATTCTTTAAAGGTCTAGCTTTAATTTATTTTAAGAAGTTATTTCTAGTAATAACTAATAAGTTATATCTTTTATAATTTAGTAGTTTAATTATATTAATTTTAAAATAATAGAAAAGAAATATAGCTTTTATTAAATATAGAGCTTTTTCTTATTTTCTTTTACTTTTATACTAATAGACTTTATAGATACTAATATACTTTTATATATAATTATAGTAACTTTTCTAGTAATAATAGCTAGTTATTAAATAAAAAGGATTTTTTCTTCTAATATATCTAATTTTATTAT